AAATGTAGCATTTTTTCCTGATCCTAGAGAGGTAGCTTCTGTAATTTAATAATCCTTCAACTTTTAAAGCATCCCAGGAAAATAAGAACAAAGGCACATGTGAGTCCCTGCCCTGCTATTTCTAAACCACAATGTTACTATTACCTTCAATAGTACAAAATAAGGTACATTTACTGCCTGTCACAACAGATTAAATTTACATTCAACCTCTGAATCAAGTTGAAACAATGAGCCTTACTTTAGACCACTTTATCACTACATGCATGAACAGACATGTTCACTGGGTTTCTGTGAGATTTCCTCCTCTCTTAATGATTTCATTCTGTTTAGGATGAATATCAGTTTGCTTTAACACCCAATTTTACACAATAATGGCTTGCTTAAATAAGATTTTTCTTAAAATAGCAAGCTAGGATATCAGATCATAGAATAATAGTTTTTTTAAAATAAGATATTTTTTTTAAAAAAAGTAGCAAGATAGGATATCGGATGAGTTCCTGATTTGGCTCAGACTGTAAATCTATTGCACATACCACTAGAAGTAAATGTTGACATTCTGCCTTGTGATCTTAATCATGGTTTGTTGTTGCATCTTGAACTGAGCTTTATTTTTGAATCTCAGTTTGTTTTTCATGAATTTTAACTGTATTTCTATCATTTTATTCATTTATATTAACAGCATATAGTCTACAATTCTTTGTTACAAAGAACTACTAAATAGCTTTATTAATAAAAACAATGCCTTAACTTCAGCATGACACAATTATAAAATAGCATCCATGCATGGTTCAGGCACCTCAATTTTTGTCTCATATCCGTCTAGAGTAGACTATACCTTCTATGAACAAATAAGGAATGATTTAATATGTCCCTTGTGCAAACATTCCAAGGCTACCATGATAAGTGATTGGTTATGAATTGTTTATCAGATTGGAATCTTTAATGCATAAGTTGCTAACTTTTTCCTTTCCGTAATAAGAAAGGCCTATTATAAAAAGATGCTTGGTAACTTGCCATTGCTTTTAAAGAACTTTCTGTGCTCTATATTGTATGTAACTTGGCGGGCATGTATCTGAACATGCCATGGCCATGCTAAACTTATTGACTGATATAAAACAGCAGATGCACTATGAAAATCTACTACATGGCTTTAGCGACCCAGAATCACCAACCAGCACCAACTAGAAACCTATAATATGAATGCTTAGTTCAAATCATGGTGAAGTTCAGGACTGCCCCAAACCCATTTGTGTCTTGAATCTCTTCACCTCCTTATGTCTGTAGTAATTCTGTACTTCTTTTGCTTTGAACAGACCTCCCTATGCTGTGCATAGCTTGCTCTTCAAAGCACAGTATCCAGTTTTAAAGAACTCTGCCATGTGGTATGGGATATGCATATGTGAATGGTTCTTCAAGAAATCCAAGTCCCAAGAGTTCTTTCATGCACTATAATATTTGAGCAGTTCTTTGGAATCAAGCGATGTAACATACAGATTTACAAAAACAAATAGCCAAACCTTATCCAAGTCATGGCTTTTTTAGCAGACAAGAAACCCCCTTTTAGATGCTTAAATGTGTAAGCTTACACAAATCATGGTAAGCATTCAAAATATTACTGACTCTCATTTTCAATATTACATTACATTCCTAAATACATATTTTCTTCCTTTACTGTGGAGGAAAAACTATGATTTTATTCTTGCCATTTAAGATGCAACAGACAATCTTATGTTCCAAGACAGCCTTCTTTTATTTAACAAACAGCAATACATTTATCTTGAAAATCAAGGACATAGCAACTAAAATCAAAACAAACAGCTTTCTCGTTTTATAACATAAAATGTACTAATGTCCTGAACCATGTGCTGAACCTTTTTACAATCAAATTTAAATTGGAAGTGTATATAATTCAATTATAAATGTCTCACTAAAAAGGACTCTGCATTTAATACTGAATATTGAAGTCCTGAAGCCTACACTTACTTCAAAAATGTACTATGGCACTCTACGCTGAATACATTAAAACAGTGATGGCAAACCTTTTTGGGCCCGAGTGCCCAAATTTGGGGAGGGGGACACCAGTGGAGGGTGGGCTGCAGTGGCGGAACCAGACGTGGCGGCAGAAGGGGGAATCCCAGGCTTGGAAGTGCCTCGAGACCCCACTCCGGATCCTGGCCCACCACCCTGTTGAAGTGCCCAACACCGTGGCTGCAGCTGCCACCTCAGGTTTGGCTGCGGGGGCGGAAGGAGCAATCCGGCGATATATGGCTCGCGTGCCTGCAGAAAGGGCTCTGCGTGCCAGCTGTGGCACGTGTGCCATAGGTTCGCCATTGCTGCATTAAAAGTTATTTTAACATACAAAGAACTACAGAAGAAAATCTGACATTTGCTTTGAAGTGTCATAAATGATGTGTTTAGTAGATGTATTGGTGGAAGTGAATTAGAGGGCCCAGGGACTGTCTGGGAGATGCTCTCCTGCATCTATTTAATGACAATGCGGATCACCCATAGAACCCCTAGGGCTGATCTTTTATTCCTATTTCATTTCTTCCAGCTACATAAGCTCTGCAATGTATTCAGTTCTCAAATTATGAATATTTACAAACTGACCAGTCAAAAAGCATGTTTACTTCATTCTCAAGGACTGAACACCATTTTGCAGACAATTACCAACTGTCACTTAAAGAAGGTTGGAAGATTCAACAAGCTCAAGTCAAAAAACCTTGTAAAATACAGCTTAAGGCTTAAAGTTATTTTACTTATTAACCCTGCATGTTTACAGAAAGAAAAACATTATCTCCCACTTAATTCTCACAAGACATAATTTTACTGCAGATAGTGGTTGTGAGAAAGGGCTTTTGATTATATTCCTGGGTGCTACCAAGCTTCTACTAAAGTTTAAAACCATTTTTATAGTAACTATAAGCTATGAAAACTTATTTAGGAAGAAATAAATGTCAAAAAGATTGATTTAACTTAAAACAATTAACAATCAAAACTGCTTGATTCAAATCAACCCAGCATGAACCGAAATAAGCCTTGCATAATATGCAGCTCACCACACTAAACTCATTCCATATTTGTAATGTCTAAACTGAACTGTGGAACAGAAGAACTATCAAGCAAATGGTTGAGAAGGCTTACTCTAAATCAACGGGATTTGTTTTATCTTTTTAAACTGGTATTAATATGGAAATAACATATATTTGATTAAACTGAATGCATTCATCTTTTCTGCTAACATCTATAAAAACTACAGTGGTGGTTGTGATGGAGAAGCTACAAAAACTGCTGGACAGCTAGTGGTTTAGTACAGTGGTTCTTAACCTTGGGTTACTCAGGTGTTTTTGGATTGCAACTCCCAGAAGCCTTCATCACCAGCTGTGCTGGCTGGGGTTTCTGGGAGTTGCAGTTCAAAACACCTGAGTAACCCAAAGTTAAGAACCACTGCTTTAGTATCTGCCTGCAGAGCCAGAGGTTGGGAGTGCGATTTCCCACTGTGCCTCGTTGACAGGGGCTGAACTTGTTGACCCATGGGGTCCTTTATAGCTCTGCAGTTCTAAGATGATGATGATGATTACAAAGATTCAAGCAACTCGTCTTTGCATTTTCATTTAAGCCATCATCTTAGCATGCAATGAAGTTAAGTTAGTAGAAAACCAACCACCTCAGGTTAATTTTATTTGGAAAGTATAAAGAATAATATATTACATGAAAATATAACATTTTCAAGACTGGAGATAAAATTCTGCTAGAATATCAGTCTAAATGAATAACTATATATCTATTACTTCAGTCTGGCAGTACAATAGTAGATAATCCACTAATAAAAGCAGTAAACATGCTTTTGTATTTAAATAATGAACACTGAAAAACTACATTTGAGCATATTGGGAGTGAATGAAACTGTATCAAATAAAATCAAGTGACAAAAAAGATTTTAAAATCCTCAATTTTTCATGGTGTAAAAACTTTTTCAATTGCTCAGATGAGAACACATCTAGGTAAGTTTGAGGAACTAGTAAACCTATCATATTAACCTGCCAATTGAGATTATAAAGGGTATAGTCTCTTAACATGTGAAAATATGTTCTGCATAAGTGAAATGGTTGGATTTTCTTTTACTACATCTTCATTAAGTTCACAGGGCTAATGGTGAACTAAACCACTGGTTCTTAACCTTGGGTTACTCAGGAGTTTTGGACTGCAACTCCCAGAAGCCTTCACCACCAACTGTGCTGGCCGGGGTTTCTGGGAGTTGCAGTTCAAAAACATCCGAGTAACAAAGGTTAAGAACCACTGAACTAAACAATAATGCCACTAGTCAACAAGGTGCTAACTTTCCCTCACCTAAAATAACTTGCAGCTGTTATGGGACTAGTGACATTCTCTGGGTGTTTTATTCTATGCTAGTACAGCTCCACACATATCTACAGTATTATTTGCGTGAATACAACCACAGTCAAATTAAGCATAATAGTTTTACATAAAGCTGCTGCACTATTCCTTATTCAAGATATACACCTGTTGCATGCATGATTTACTAATGATACTTTAATCAAAGGTAGTTTAAGTCAAGGTACATCCAGTGTGGTGTTGCAGATAGTGGCTGAGCAGAAGACCCAGGTTCAAAATTCCTCCTTGGCTATGGAGACGCACCATGAAGTGGCAATAGTAAAACCATTCTTTAAATATCTCACATTAACATGAAAACCGCATTAGGGTTGCTTTATGTCTGATGCAACTTGACAGCATGTAATAACAGGGTACAGTACAATTCCATTATAGTTTCACTGATACACCTTACTAGTTATGCAGCACTGTCCAAATGCTCTTTACTCACTTCATGCAACTGCCATGACAGCTACTTTAACACATGCTTACGGCTGATTAGATATATCTATATGATCGCATAACAGCAACATCAACATGAATTCATACAATCATTAGCATTTGTGTTAATGTCTGCCTATAGATCCATTACTCACAAGCATACTTACATCTTTTGCCATGTTACCAAATCAAGAAATCAATTCTTTATTTCCTCGATCACCACAGGGCAAAGAGAAACAGCAGCCGTGTGTTCTAAAAAGAAGGAAAAAATTAGTGTAGAGATGTGTTAAATCTGGAATGCTTCGCAACCAGTCTCAAAACTTCAATATAAGTTACAATTACAAACATCAAACTTTAAAATTCTGCAAGGCATTTGCCTCTTTTCCTCCCAAGGGAAGATAAGACAAGATGGCCTGAGCTGACAATCTGACAGCAGAAGATGGGGGTGGGTGGGGATTTGGTCCAGTTTGGTTTCAAACTGGTGTGGTTGAAAAGCATAATTGTGCCTCGTACACGTATGTACACGACTCCACCTGAACTGTGCAAGGGGACTGTGTCTGACCCATTCAGTGCAGCACAGTCACTAGGCCTCAGAGGCCCCCAACCCCTCCACCACCTATCACACACTTTTCTCAATCCTAAACAACACACATATTGCTTCTTCCATGCCAAAGATCCCAAGCAGGCCCCAGCAATTTCTAGGCTGCTTCCGCGGAGGGGAGGGGAGGCTGAGCTGGTCCTCAAGAGTCTCTAACAAAAGCCAGGCCAGCAGCAGCAGCAGCAGCATCTGTGCTTCAGAGAGAACGAGTCCTGCCGCCAGCCTCCGCCTCCTGCACCTTCCCGCCCCCTCTCCAGGGCCTCAGCAGCCGGGCCAGAGCCCCGCAAGTCTAGCCCAGCAACACCACTGACTGCTGGAGGAGAGAGAGAGAGACAGACGGGGGGCCACCCATGCACCACCCTCACCCTCGTTCGTCTCCCAGCCGAGCCCCGGAGCGGGAGGCGGGGAGAGAAGGAAGGGAGGAAGAAAGAGGGAATCTCTTCCTCGGCCTTTAGACCGTCCCGCCTAAACGCTTCCCACCGCCGCTGCCTCCCCCCCCCCAATTCATGCTCTCTCCCACCTGTCCCCCCTCTTTGAGCCGCCGTCGCCCCCCCTCCCCCTCTCCCCCCCCTCCTGGTTCCCACGCCAAAGGCGCCTCCAGCACCTGAAGAAGTAGGAGAGGAGCCACCGAGCCAACTCCATCCCCCACCACACACTCCCGAGCAATCCCCCACCCACAGCGCCGCTCTTGCACGGAAAGAGAGAGAGAGAGAGAGATGCCAACTGCACATGTGCAATGCTTGGCCCTCCTCAAAAACCCCTCGGGGGTGGGGAGAGAGGAGGGAAGCAACAACACACCATCAACCTCCCTTTCTCTTTTTATAACACCCCCCCACCCCACAATCCAAAGTAACTACACGTTTGCTGCGGGAGTGGGAAAGGGTAGACAGGACCTCCACACTCGCCTCACTGCACCCGTCCACATACAGAAGAGGCAAAACTACCAGTAATCTTTAAAGTGGGGCAATAAACCTTTCAGATAAAAAGGAATTAGTGCCCCGTTTTGATCCCTGCTTGCAGTCTTGCTCCTCCTTCCCTTCCTCTCATCTCGTCTTTTCTCCGGTGGCAGCAAACAGTGAGGGGGTCTTGAAGAAGAAGAAGAAAAAAAGGGGGGGGGGAATCGGGAAGGAGGGCGATCGATTTGTACTTCACAGGTCTCTGGTCTTTCTCTGACCCCCTCCTCCAGCGTCTTGCAACTATCCCTGCAACCCTGCAGTCGCATGCACTTCCTGGGAGGCAGCCCCCACGAGAAAGCTGCGACTTTCAGAATGCTTGCTGCCAATTATGCGTGTAGAACAGACACACACACACAAAGAATCGGAGTGCAACTCTGGCAGCAGCTTCCTACACACTTCCATCTCCCTTGGTTTGAATCGGGATGCAGGGGCTGCAATCCGACATAGTATACTTCTTTGGAAGTAAGACGACCCTCCTCCCCCCCCCCACTTGAACTGAGAAGGACTTATACTCGCGTGGAGGTACAGATGTAACTAGGCTGCAGGCTTTCCCCCCCCGCCTCCTCCGAAATGCGCCATCGTTCCTGTTCCCTGCCAAACAATTAAAACAAGCCGAGCTCGCCTTCCTCCTACCTTGCTCTGCCCCCCACTCTGTGGCCGTTGGCTTAAGAGGTCCGCCTTGCTGAGCTGTCTGTCGGGGTTGCCTCGCTCACACCTGTTCCCGCTTCCTGCACAGAAGGCGGATGGGAGGCACGGGCAGCGCCGCCGCTGCTGCCGCCTCCCCCCCCCTTGCGATCCCGCAATTATTGGCTTCTCGGCGGTTGGCAGGAAGAAGGGAGGAAAAAATTGAAACTTACACTTTCGTGCGTCCCTCCGGCGTGACGCTGCGCGCTTACGTCACGGAGTGGAACGTGCCCCACATCGTCGGACGCGGGGAGATTACTGTTCCCTTTCCCCCGTCCTATCACCACCGTACGTTCCCTTCAGCCGGCCTACCGGGATGTCGTAGGGGAAAGGCGCGCGCATGCGCAAGGTTTTCGCGCCATCGGGATTCCACCACGCCTCCCTCTTTCTAAGGACTGAGCGCGCGGGAAGGTAGAGCGCGAGACCGGCTGTTCTTGGTTTTGTCGTTGGCAGGCGGTGCGGCAGGGGCTGCCCTCGCGAGATCCAGACCTTTCTCTCACGGGCAGGCGAGGCAGCGTTGCTGTGTTACCTTCCCACCGCTGGCAAGGAAGTTGAGGTTCATGTAGCAATTATATAGACAGCGATCGAGATTTTTTTCTTAATAGGGCTCGCTTCTCGCCACACTTTAATCCCCGTTTTTATTGCTTTATAAAGACTAGTCGCATTCGTCCATTGGAAAACAAGCGTATTCGGAAATCTACCAGCTTTGTGTTTACTCAAGAGTAACAGACTGCCTTAATTTACTAGTCTAGGTATCCTATACGCGGACGTAACGTCTTTAGAGGCCTATGATTCAAGATAATACGCATGCAGGGTGTTGAGGCAATTGCCATTAGTACTGTATATTATTTGGACGTGCATTTTGTGCAGTACTCCTGAACAAAACTGATAATTCAGGTTATGTACAATTGTACATCTTTCACAAATAAATGGCAAAAAAGGAATCTACTTTGGATGGGGATGTTCAGGTTATGTACAATTGTACATCTTTCATTCACAAATAAATGGCAGAAAAGGAATCTACTTTGGATGGGGATAAAAAAATGAATCAAAGCAAAGATGCTGCACATGAATAAATCTATTGATATGAGCAAACTTGAAAGCCTAAACCTAACAAGCGCTGAGAGATAACTGCCGCCAAATGTACTACAAATTGTATTATCACTGGATGCTGATGGCATGTTTCAGTGACTTCTTGGTACCTGTTATACTCAATATGCTTACTTGCACTACGGTTTAGAGGTGATCTGAAGACTTAACAATTTAGTTCTTAATGGTAAAAGGAAGAAAATTAATCAAATGAATATTGGAAGAATTACTTCCTTCATTACTAACTAGTATTTTAGTAAATATGGAAGGGGTTTCCTTGCACTACAACCCTTGATGTGATCTATTATGTTACTCATCTTTAAAGCAACATGCAAAATTCAAAGAGGCAGGTAAGCAGCACATGTTTTAACTCCTGGGCTTCAATTCTCTTTAAACATTTAATAGGTCACAAGTTTCACTAAATTCAAGAGAACTTCTGGGCAGACATGTACAGTATTATGCTGTTAATATATTAAAGGTAAAACTAAAGCTGAGATAAAATCTCCAGTTTATTGAGGGAAACTATGCAAACTGAAAATATTTTGAAAAAAACTTCTAGAAAATTCAGCAAGAAACATTATACAGTACAGGTGTATATTCAAGCTGTTGGTATATGAAAATTAATAGGCGTATGCAATTTTATTAAAATTATCTAGTTAAATAATTTGATACTAATTTCAGCTACAGAATATGAAATTTTAAAAATGAAGTTCTGTGTACAGGTTGCGAACCAGTAGTTAGGAGTACCAGATGTCTTTACCTGACAAATGCCCGAAATAACTAATATACTAATCTGAACGTGAATACCATCACTGTATAACATTGGGTATCAAGACTTTTAATAAGTCTGTCTCTAAGAACTGACATGGGTAATTATTTCATCATGATTATAAATTCTGAATCCCTAAAGTTCTTCAAAAACATGCAGGTTTTCCCTTCTTGCTGTATACCAAATGATACCCCCAATGAAGTAATGCAAACCTAAATGTATATTCCAAAAATAGTTTTAATTCTACACAGTATTTTGGTTTTAAACAATTAACAAGAATCAATACAAGTAGTTCTTTATTTTTATACTGAGAAACCTTTTCTGATCATGGTTATTTTGTTTGTGAACCTACAAATATGAAAGAGATACAAATTAAAATAACATTATTTAAGTTGCATCATTCAGTTTTACTCCTTAGGCAAATGAAGCATTTTTCATCTTTATCTGTAACTGGAAATGTATACAGCACTTAAAATGTTTCTGTAGCTGATGTTAGACTTAGTACAGTACTTGCATTGCAGAGCTCTTTAACAGTACCACAGGCACCATACATGTAAATTGAATTTTCTGTACTGACTGAAAATAATAAAAAGGCACATCAGTCAATTACTGAATCAGCAGGTAAGATTTTCAGAACTGATTTGACAGAAATGTTTTTCTTTTATACTCCAAAAATTACAATATGTGTTTTACTTTATAAAATGAAAGCAATATAAAGCTTCTAAGTTGAGGAGAATAAACCTATTTTGTTTGCTGCCTGAGAAATGTAATGAATGTAAAGATGTTTCTTTTGTAGAACCTTGTTTAATTAAACATCTTCAAGAACTTAATCTTCTTTCAGATCTTGGTACACATTTCATAATTGAAGCTCTCCAGAGTGCTGGTGCAAGCAATAGACTTAGAGTTGTCACACTCAGTATAAGAAGATAGACCTAGAAATTGGCAAACAAAATGTTAGCTCATTTCATATCTTTTCCTTAAGAATCAAGGAAGCATAGAAGTACTCCGAGTATTTAAAGTAGAGTCATAAAGCTAAAAATAAATTCTTGTGTTACAGGAGTAGCCTGTTCAGCCAGCTTGAATATCATGAGTCAAAAGAGTTGTAGTTAATGTAGATATATGGGCTTTATTTTTATTTAAATACAGCAGTATATATAGTCACAAGGATACCATGGTAAATAAAAAGAAGTGACTTATCGTATGATAGCCAGCCCTTGGTTTCCCAATCCCAGAAACATTAAGCTACTGCTAAAGCTATGCATGAGAGCAAGTAATTCAAGAACAGCCAAAGGTCCTGTGACTTATCATCCCACCTACAACACAAAATAGATATCTAACTCAATGCCAGATAACATCCACAGCCTAATTCACAACTATTCTAGCTGATTTATCATCAGTGTTAGTGGAGTCGTAACCACAACATATTTAAAGGGATTATAATTGCTGGTATTACAGGGACTTGGAATTTAGCATAATCAAAACCATATTTTATCACAAGGAACATGCCTTTTGTCCACAGTCATAGGCATGGATCCAGACTGCTTCTGCTTGTGAATACTTCTTGCAGACTAGTGAAACAGTATTTATTCCTGCACTTCTTAGTTCTCTTTGAAAATCTCCCCTGGTGTTTTGAGTGATCTTCAGAACAGTGTGGGAGGGAATAATGGGAGTTGTAGGATAGAGGAAATTAGAAAATGCATGCATCCCCTGCCTTGCATAGGATTGCAAGCCTATGGACAGAATAATGAAGCTGAATACAACCCATGGGCTAGTATTATACTGTAGAAGTTACAGAAGCATCTGTGGCTGTTTGGTGAGATGCTTGTTTGGGGCCTGTGTCCTGTTTGGTGACATAATTTATATGCTCTACTTTTTTCTCTCTAAAGACAACAAAGTGGCCAGTGTGCCCTTCTCAAGGCAATGGACAAATCTGCAGGAGCTGAGACAGACTTTTTATTTACTAAGTGAAACTATAAACTGATACCTTGACACCTTTGTCTTATGGTAAATCTGCAAATACAGTGGTGCCTCGCACAACGAGCGCACCGTAGAGCGATGAATTCGCTCTACGGTGACGCTTTTGCGATCGCTAAAGCGATCGCACAACGATGGCCCCAATGGGCGAAAATCGCAGAGCGAAGGTC